ACATTCACTTTCTGTGAGTGGATTGGAGTATGGAGCTTCATAGACTTATGGACAAACATTATATACTCCAATCAACTCGCACAAAGTGAAAGTTAAATTTTCAAGGTATATCGTATGGAAACGGCGCCATAATGCATGGATAGCCTTGGCTTCGGTGCCTCAATGTCAACCATGATGTCATGTCACTTGGCTTCTCTCTGTTTAGATAGAACCTCCACAAACACTGGCAGGAACTAGTCTAGTGCACGTGACTATCACATGACAAAACCTTACCCGGAGCCAGTCTTGAACTTAATAGAATTCTTCTTGTTATCCTTTGCTTCTTTTATCCAATAAAAGTGTACGCTTCAATTCTGTTGAGCACAGAACAACCTGCCTTAAAAACCGACCATTGTACGAACTACATACGATGAAATAAGGCGTTACACGGAATACAGTGAAGTCTGGACTGAACACTTAGTCCCAGAAATAAGTTATCTCATCTAATATCTATATCTACAAGATGTAAATAATTTAATCCAAATGGATTAATTTCAGGAGAGCTGGGGCAATCTAAACTTGCCCGATCTTTCGAGCCTTGAGTTGGACTCCTTTTAAAATTATTCTCCAAGGTCTGGGAGACAGACTGTGACGTCATGCCGTATCCCCAGTCACTGTGCTTGATGTAGGGAACGGATGAAGCCGAGTTAACCGAGGTGGGCGTCTTGTAAGGCGATGCTGCAATATCCATCATGACGTTATGTATAGCGTAGGCTACGATGCTGCAATATCCATCATGACGTTATGTATAGCGTAGGCTGCGATGCTGCAATATCCATCATGACGTTATGTATAGCGTAGGCTACGATGCTGCAATATCCATCATGACATTATGCATAGCCTAAGCTGCGATGCTGCAATATCCATCATGACGTATGTATAGCGTAGGCTACGATGTTGCAATACCCATCATGACGTAATGTACAGCGTAGGCTACGATGCTGCAATATCCATCATGACGTTATGTATAGCCTAGGCTACGATGCTGCAATATCCATCATGACGTTATATATAGCGTAGGCTACGATGCTGCAATATCCATCATGACGTTATGTATAGCGAAGGCTACGATGCTGCAATATCCATCATGACGTTATATATAACGTAGGCTACTGCAATATCCATCATGACGTTATATATAGCGTAGGCTACTGCAATATCCATCATGACGTTATGTATAGCCTAGGCTACGATGCTGCAATATCCATCACGACGTTATGTAAAGCGTAGGCTACGATGCTGCAATACCCATCATGACGTTATGTATAGCGTAGGCTACGATGTTGCAATATCCATCATGACGTTTATAAGCGTAAGCTACGTTGTTGCAATATCCATCATGACGGTATGTATAGCGTAGGCTACGATGCTGCAATATCCATCATGACGTTATGTATAGCGTAGGCTACGATGCTGCAATATCCATCATGACGTTATGTATGGCCAAAGCTGCGATGCTGCAATATCCATCATGACGTTATGTGTAGGTAGGCTACGATGCTCCAATATCCATCATGACGCTATGTATAGCGTTGGCTACGATGCTGCAATATCCATCATGACGTTATGTATAGCCTAGGCTACGATGTTGCAATACCCATCATGACGTTATGTATAGCGTTGGCTACGATGCTGCAATATCCATCATGACGTTATGTATAGCGTAGGCTACGATGCTGCAATATCCATCATGACGTTATGTATAGCGTAGGCTATGATGCTGCAATACCCATCATGACGTTATGTATAGCGTAGGCTACGATGCTGCAATATCCATCATGACGGTATTTATGGCCAAAGCTGCGATGCTGCAATATCCACCATGACGTTATGTATAGCGTAGGCTACGATGCTGCAATACCCATCATGACGTTATGTATAGCTTAGGCTACGATGCTGCAATATCCATCATGACGTTATGTATAGCGTAGGCTACGATGCTGCAATACCCATCATGACGTAATGTACAGCGTACGCTACGATGCTGCAATATCCATCATGACGTTATGTATGGTCAAAGCTGCGATGCTGCAATATCCACCATGACGTTATGTATAGCGTAGGCTACGTTGATGCAATATCCGTCATGACGTTACGTATAGCGTAGGCTACGATGCTGCAATATCCATCATGACGTTATATATAACGTAGGCTACTGCAATATCCATCATGACGTTATATATAGCGTAGGCTTCTGCAATATCCATCATGACGTTATGTAAAGCGTAGGCTACGTTGCTGCAATATCAATCATGACGTTACGTATAGCGTAGGCCGTGATGCTGCAATATCCATCATTATTACCCACGTGGTGAAGATACAGGTGGTAAGATACTAAATCCGTACGTCACACGTGTGTCGTACAAGGTTGACCTTGTTTTATTCGTTTTGATTGGATAACCGTGACCTCTATCACACCGGGACTACTTTTTTCATTCATAAAAAATCGCGAGACGTCATTCCTTTTGCGATTACAAGGCAGAACTGAAGAAATTCATGAGAACGAGAGATATTTACAAACACTTTATTAAACCAAACAAGATAGTCACACGCATCAAATTCGGTTTGCATTCTATATAAGTTATGCATAGAGGTCCTACAGTTTGATTTAACGTAAAAGGATAGGCGTGGTGAAATGAAGTCTGTTTAAACTATCTGGACAGATATCTAGACTTACTTGGGATGATCCGGTTGTGCCATCGGTGTCCCCCTTGAAGCGTATTTTGTGGCGCTGTTTCGGGAGGTGTTGTTCATGAATGAACGAACACGACAGCACGACCAGATCACTTAAAGTTCACAGTTCCGATACAAATCATTCGAAAACTCCGTGGAAGTGTGCTTGACTTCTGATTTTGTGGCCCCAAACATCCCAAATGTGAACAGTAACATTCCCTATCTCTAGCGTAAAACGCTGTAAGTGGATCGCGGTTGTCTTTTCTTATTCTGGTGGCGACCTTGCCCTTCGATCGTTCGAAGCTGTCACTGACATGCAAGCAGATTTGAGTTTGTTGATTTTCACGTCTTCAGTATATAGGGTGGTACAGTTAACATGAATGTCTTTGTCGAACAGTCTGATTTCCCTCTTCCAAAATGGTACGGACATGATATAAATTCAGCTGATAGATCAAGGAAACCGAACCATTTTGATTGCACAGACGGGACCCCGGCAGTGTGATGCGTGTGACTGTTGGTCCGATATTCAAAGCGCGGCGCTTATGTGACATTTCAAATTTTCTTAACGGTGTCCTGCGTACTAACAACATGGCGCTTGAATTACCATAAGTTGAAGACTTTCTTCCAAAAGGATCTTGAGCGTCGGTGCTGGTTTGTTTGCACACAGAACAGCAGGCGCATGTTGTTAATGCGTATGCATAAACATGTCAACAATGCCCATATTTGGTCATATATCAATATTCATGCGCAACCAGATTTTGCAACCGGTTTCAGTTTGGTCTGTCAACGAACGAAAGTTGTTATGTATTTACACTTAAATATATATTTAACGTGGGTAATAAATAAAATACCACACTCATTCTCGTTAGATATCATTCTTTAGAAAGTCCACTCGTTTCGTAAAAATGGTATCTAACGAGAATGAGTGTAGTATTCTCTATTGACGTTATGTGTAGAGTAGGCCACGATGCTGCAATATCCATCATGACGCTATGTATAACGTAGGCTACGATGCTGCTATATCCCCAGTAAAACATGATCAGGCAACAACAGTGGCCCATGGTTTACTGTTAAGATTCCCTTAATGTGTCATTTGGATAAAATCATCTTTCCTGCCTATAAATAATCCCCCTTCAATGCATAAACTATGGCATGTGTAAACACGACTCCTGTGCACGCGGCACGCTGTGAATGGGGTATAAACAAGTGCACACACACATATGGCTCTCATTATACACGTTCAAAGACCAAAAAATATGTTCACAGTGCATGCGATTGCATATTGTTTTGTTTTAAAACATGTAATTTTATATTGTTTACGGTCATTGCATTATAGTAATTTTGAATATTTAAGAATTGACTTCAATATATAAATACGTCAGCAATAATAACTTCACAGACTACTAATTTAATCATTAACATAAATAAGTAGACATAAATGCGAGTGACATTGTTCAGTGGTCCGTTTGTGGGCGCGGCCTATTTCTTTTAGGTTCATGGAAACATAAGAAACTATTATTTTGTAAGCCAATCAAATGCTATGGAATCACCTGCAACTCATTTATTTCGAAATTAGCCTAAAAAGGGGGCGAAAAAATGTGAAAATGTATAAAATAAATTACTGGTGAGTAATCGCAGGGTTGTCTCTATCATGACCAGGGCCAGGCTCAGAGATCAGAGACATGTCCATATTGGTGTGCGAATGTAATTGTTCTCTTTCAACTTGCAGTTAAACAGGTGCTATCATTCATTGTTTATTATCACACGTTAACCAAACAGGAAATTAAAATGTGTTCAGTCAGTAAAATATACCCTTTATGTTCATACAGTATTTCCAGCACAATCTCTTCTGAACATTATCATAAACACATATAACAGAAGACATGGTGGTTCATTGTTCTTGAGAAGCAATACGTTAACCCTGCGAGATACAATGTATAAAGCAAATACATTCTATTGAAGATCAACAATAGCCTCCTTTCATTGATCTCTCAAAGATCTTTCAAAGATATGTAGATATATAGATAATTTTTATATATATGTATATATTGGTTTTGACATGCGCGTTAAGATTCATTGATGACGATTCAAGACTTCATTCAAGACTTATCGTCATACTGACCCTAATATATTCCGACGAAGAGCAAGCTGGCAAACGTTTCAAACATAAATATTAAGTCTTGATTCAGCATTAAAAGTTAATTAATAAAAGTAATATATTACGTTACATTTCCATATGTTAGAATGAAGTGGCGTAAATCATTCATGTGTCTTGATGAGCTACTCACCTTAACAGGGACACAGATGAGCACCAGGAGAAGGTCCGCCGTTGCCAGACTCAGCAGGAATATGTTGGTGACGTTCTGCATCCGCCTGTACCTGGCCACGGACACGATGACCAGCGTGTTACCCACAAGGCCTAACAGCAGGGTCAGCCCGTACCCCAGGGCGTTAGGCACCAACTCGTCTAGGGGGACATTGTTCACAGCATCTTCGTAGTTGTAGTAGTACTCATCGGTGGCGTTTTCCACGTCTTCAGTAACGACGTTTTGCGACGTTGTTGAGTTGTAAAAGGTCATGAACGAAAGTGTTGTCATTTTGTAAAGGGTGCGTTTGAATGTAGATTTGGGCCACTTTTCCATATGTTATTCATTGTTTCATGTTTGTAGTTGTCAGCCGGAACACGACCTCAAGCCTGATGCAGTGCTTCAGATGGGAACGTGTTGTCCTGGCGTAACGTCACACGCGTTATGTTGTAATGCAATCACGAATCACTTCCAGGAGGAAATTAAATATTTGACATTCTCCGTTTTTAATCTGGGCGGCATGGTAATCCATATGGAGATCTCCCTGCTGCCGCAACAGACAGCAAATGTAGCAGTTGTCCAGTGTATCGACCAGCGCGCCTTGATAACACACCGATAAAAGTTGGCCCTCCTCTCTTACACGGACTTGTTTAACTATCAGCGACTCCGTGTGTCTACAGTGGACAGAGGCGGACGAGTGGAGGAGCGGTGCAACACGCGCAACACTCTCTACGTCGCGGCGATGAGACAGTCAGTGATCAACGAGCAGCAGGAGGCAACTTAAGCTTAGAATTAAAGCCCTACCTTCAGGCTGCGCGTTCACATTTATAGTTCATTACACGAATTTCCGATTTTTCTATAGTTTGATGACATTTCATATGTACGTTTGTATTGTTTGATCCAGGCATCCCCCTCTACTGTTAGAATTGTTATGTCTATGAGCTCTTGGAGGCACTGAGCATTAAGCAACCGCGTCTCAATAGTTTGGTGTATTCGCATGTATTCATTTAAATCTGTTTTGATGATATTTTAAGCTATGATTTTATAAGCATTCCGATTTTTACAATTTGAAATACAGTAATTAACTTATATTTATTTGGTCATTGTGTCATGCAAGATGAAACCAGGAGAGGATCTTCACAGACATGATAGAGCTGAGAGGAGAATCTTCACAAACATGAGATGGTTAGGGGAAGGGTCTTCACAGACATGAAAGTGTTGGGGGAGGGTCTTCACACACGTAGTTTGAGGGAGGGTCTTCACAGACATATAAGAGTGTGTGTGTGTGTGTGTGTGGGGGGGGGGGGGGGGGGGGGTGGGGGGGGGGGCTGTCTTTTTAGGCATGATAGAATTGAGGGAAGGGTCTTCACAGACATATAAGAGTGTTTGGGGAGGGTCTTTATAGGCATGATAGAATTGAGGGAAGGGTCTTCACAGTCATATGAGAGTGTTGGGGGAGGGTCTTTATAGGCATGATAGAATTGAGGGAAGGGTCTTCACAGACATATGAGAGTGTTGGGGGAGGGTCTTTATAGGCATGATAGAATTGAGGGAAGGGTCTTCACAGTCATATGAGAGTGTTGGGGGAGGGTCTTTATAGGCATGATAGAATTGAGGGAAGGGTCTTCACAGACATATAAGAGTGTTAGGGGAGGGTCTTTATAGGCATGATAGAATTGAGGGAAGGGTCTTCACAGTCATATGAGAGTGTTGGGGGAGGGTCTTTATAGGCATGATAGAATTGAGGGAAGGGTCTTCACAGTCATATGAGAGTGTTGGGGGAGGGTCTTTATAGGCATGATAGAATTGAGGGAAGGGTCTTCACAGTCATATGAGAGTGTTGGGGGAGGGTCTTTATAGGCATGATAGAATTGAGGGAAGGGTCTTCACAGACATATGAGAGTGTGTGGGGAGGGTCTTTATAGGCATGATAGAATTGAGGGAAGGGTCTTCACAGACATATAAGAGTGTTAGGGGAGGGTCTTTATAGGCATGATAGAATTGAGGGAAGGGTCTTCACAGTCATATGAGAGTGTTGGGGGAGGGTCTTTATAGGCATGATAGAATTGAGGGAAGGGTCTTCACAGACATATAAGAGTGTTAGGGGAGGGTCTTTATAGGCATGATAGAATTGAGGGAAGGGTCTTCACAGTCATATGAGAGTGTTGGGGGAGGGTCTTTATAGGCATGATAGAATTTAGGGAAGGGTCTTCACAGACATATGAGAGTGTTTGGGGAGGGTCTTTATAGGCATGATAGAATTTAGGGAAGGGTCTTCACAGACATATGAGAGTGTTTGGGGAGGGTCTTTATAGGCATGATAGAATTGAGGGAAGGGTCTTCACAGTCATATGAGAGTGTTGGGGGAGGGTCTTTATAGGCATGATAGAATTGAGGGAAGGGTCTTCACAGACATATGAGAGTGTTTGGGATGGTTGAGGGATCGTCACACACAATAATGTTCTTGCTCATTGGCTTGACTATACCATAGTTCCACTTTCAAAATTGCGGCCTTGTACAAGCAAACCCTTGATATATTTCAAGCAAACGGGTTCATAACGAATAAGAATTGTGATACCGGAACTTAGCTCTAGAAGCGATGTTTTCCTGAGTATTAAGGCTGAGGGCGGAAAATCAGTCTTCTGCAAGGCGTTGCTAACAGCATTTGAGCCGACGCATGTACAACCGATATTGCCGATTGTTTCAATAATGCCAGAACAGTGTCACTTCAATGGATGGGAATTTCAGCGTCTTTCGAACGGAGCTCAAATGAAAATCTGTGGTGACGAATAACTTATCATAAGAGAATGATGATTATAATACAATGAATGGTCGATGATATCCCTACTGGGCCCCGTCTCCTGTATCTAGAGGCTTGCGAAAAGCGTACGGAAACAACACTCACTCCCCCATTACAGATACTGCCAGTATTGTTAGAACAACACGGTTTGCTCACACTTATAACAAAATATCCCTCCGGTTCGATAACATTTGAACGTATCAACATGACGAAAACATTGCCGCTATTTTAGTTATGCTTGCAATCCTGCATGTATGAATATTGTGACTGACATGGTTGTAGTTGTACTACATGCTCTGCCCATCCAAGTACCCTGGTACATAAAGATAGCCTTACAGGGTGGAGAATGTGGAGCTTCTTTCACATCTGCTACACACGCCACAATATCAAACTGAACCTTTATTTATGTAAGGAAGCAATCTGTCCACGACAATATGTTTATGTTGTAATTAGTCAAGAAGAGGCAGGGAATACTCCGTCGGCTTGACATGTTTAGAAGTATGTTCGCATTCCACAGTTGCGTTGGATAGTGTTGATGACTAGCAGCGATTCGAGCACCTGCATGCTACTGACACTCTAGTCACTTTAATTAAACTACAGAAGAGGATAACATGCTATATTTATGCACACAATCATTGATAAGTTCATGATAACAATATTATGTTCTGAATGTCAGTATTGATGTAGATAGCGTATATGTTAGTGATGGAGTGTGTACTGGTCCTGGCACCAGTTTGGAATTACATCCTGTGTTATTGTTAAGTGCTTTGGGGCCTCCGCTCACTCAAATATGTACATATTCAGATCATTAACTGACATGTGATGAACTGTTATCACTATTCCAGCTTCAAGTTGATTACGCATCTTATCGAGCTGTAACAAAGAGCATACTATTAGAATTGTAGTTGCGTCGTTGCTTTCTTAACGGAGTATTATCGGGGAAAACCGAACTAAAATATTTTGAAATACATTTTCCCTGACGAAAGAGTAAAATAAAGAAATATCGTCGCTACATTACTTCAATGTGGTCAGTGTGCATTACCATGTGTGTGGGTTGGCGCACATACAGATGGTATACTGATGAGAAGTGTGTCTTTAGGACATTATTATACCGCGCACACAGATGGAATACAGATGAGAAGTGTGTCTGTAGGACGTTATTATACCGCGCACATAGATGGAATACAGATGAGAAGTGTGTCTTGAGAACATTATTACACCGCGCACACAGATAGTATACTGATGAGAAGTGTGTCTTTGGGACATAATTATACCGCGCACACAGATGGTATATTGATGAGAAGTGTGTCTGTAGGACATTATCATACCGCTCACACAGATGGAATACAGATGATAAGTGTGTCTTAAGGACATGATCATACCGCGCACACAGATATTATACAGATGAGAAATGTGTCTTTAGGACATTATCATACCGCTCACACAGAGGGAATACAGATCAGAAGTGTGTCTTTAGGACATTATTATACCGCGCACACAGATGGAAAACAGATGAGAAGTGTGTCTTTAGGACGTTAAAATACCGCGCACACAGATGGAATACAGATCAGAAGTGTGTCTTTAGGACGTTATCATACCGCTCACACAGATGGTATACTGATGAGAAGTGTGTCTTTAGGACGTTATCATACCGCTCACACAGATGGTATACTGATGAGAAGCGTGTCTTTAGGACGTTATCATACCGCTCACACAGAGGGAATACAGATGAGAAGTGTGTCTTAAGGACATTATCATACCGCTCACACAGATGGAATACAGATGATAAGTGTGTCTTAAAGACATTATCATACCGCTCACGCAGATGGAATACAAATGAGAAGTGTTTCTCTAAGACATTATTATACCGCGCACACAGATAGAAAACAGATGAAAAGTGTGTCTTTAGGAAATTATCATACCGCGCACACAGATGGAATACAGATGAGAAGTGTGTCTTTAGGACATTATCATACCGCTCACACAGATGGAATACAGATGATAAGTGTGTCTTAAAGACATTATCATACCGCTCACACAGATGGAATACAAATGAGAAGTGTGTCTCTAAGACATTATTATACCGCTCACACAGATAGAAAACAGATGAAAAGTGTGTCTTTAGGAAATTATCATACCGTGCACACAGATGGTATACAGATGAGAAGTGTGTGTTTAGGACGTTATCATACCGCGCACACAGATGGAATACAGATGAGAAGTGTGTCTGTAGGACGTTATTATACCGCGCACATAGATGGAATACAGATGAGAAGTGTGTCTTGAGAACATTATTACACCGCGCACACAGATAGTATACTGATGAGAAGTGTGTCTTTGGGACATAATTATACCGCGCACACAGATGGTATATTGATGAGTAGTGTGTCTGTAGGACATTATCATACCGCTCACACAGATGGAATACAGATGATAAGTGTGTCTTAAGGACATGATCATACCGCGCACACAGATATTATACAGATGAGAAATGTGTATTTAGGACATTATCATACCGCTCACACAGATGGTATACTGATGAGAAGTGTGTCTTTAGGACATTATCATGCCGCACACACAGTTGGTATACAGATGAGAAGTGTACCTATAGGACGTTATTATACCGTGCACATAGATTGAATACAGATGAGAAGTGTGTCTTTAGGATATTATTATACCGAGCACACAAATGGTATAGGGATGAGAAGTGTGTCTTTAGGACGTTATCATACCCCGCACACAGATGGTAAACTGATGAGAAGTGTGTCTTTAGGACATTATCATGCCAACACGATACGGAAGGGGTACAATAGCCACAGTGAAAACTACATCATACAAGGGATACGCAAGGGAGACTATAGCCACAGTGCAAACAACACCATACAAGGGATACGCAAGGAAGACAATAGCCACAGTGTTAGCTACATCATACAAGGGA